AAGCCGTCACCCAGAGCCTCTCTCATTCTCAAATTTTTCAAAAATGTAATAATAATTAATTACATGAATCGGACTCTGATTTTCTCATTAGAAAAGGCGTCTGTACAGCAATAACTGTAAAAATCAAGAAATACATGCAAAATTCATTGATCTGCTGTATCATCATTATCATTCATTTCTTCTTCTCAATTTTCTGAATGTCAACTCTCTTGACAAATTCTTCAAATGCAGGCTTCATCAGTGACTTGATAAGCCTGTCAGCTATATTCACTGTAGAATTAACATGTTTCATCATAATTTTCTCTTTTTCAATCAAATTATGAAGAATATGATATCTAATCTCAATGTGATGTGATCTTTGTGTTAAGAATTCCCTCTTTACTAGATCAATTACTTTCTTATTATTAACTTATAGATGTGAGCATATTTTCACTTTTTCATCATTCATCAACTCAGCATTATATAATATATCATTTAATTAGATTATCTCACAAGTTGTCTCACTAGCTGCAATATATTCAGCTTCTGTAATTAATTTAGTAATAGATGTCTGTCTCTGCAATCATTATGAGATCAGTGACCTGTTAATCAATATAATATAGCTGATAGTCAATTTGTATTAAGAATCTGCTCTTACTCAGTTCAAATCACAGTATATCACAGAACTCAGGTCATCTTCTATCTTCTTCTTGTATAATATATCATGGTTTTTCATCTTCTTGACATAACATAGAACATGCTTCAACACTGCTTAACATGCTTTGTATGAATACAAGTTAAAACATAAGAGATAGTTGACTGTGAATATCAGATCTGACTGACTGCTTGAGATTAAATACTGCAATGATCTCAATTCTTGATAATATCTCATAGCTATAAAGTCATCATTCAATTCATCATTCTCATCAGGTGAAAATTTCAGTTATATATCTGCTATTATAGAGGTTCTTACAGAATTCATCTTATTCATGCTAAAATCTTCAAGAATCTTCTCAATATAACAGCTCTGTGTAATCACTAGATTGTCATTTCTCTGGCATTTAATCTTCATTCTCAGGTAAGGTTTATTCTGTTTAACTTCTTTTATCTCAAATCTTTTTCTGATTTTTATCAAAATTCACTCAATTTCACTCTCTTCAGTAGACTGACCGTGTGACCGTGTCTGGGACCAGGACCAGATTTTTTAATAGTCTCATTATCAATTCGACTGATCCCATTACACGGTTTTAACATTAGATAGTAGTTTCATACTGTCTCAGTGAGACTTACTGTCTACTCTTATCACATTTTTCAAATGAGATCATGATTTTCACTTCTCAATTTAAATTATTTTTATTACTTTAAATGACTTTAAATCTCATTTGAGTGTTATCAAAAAGTGTTACTTTTTAAAAAATTAAAAATAGTCTAAAAAAACCTTAAAATGTCTAAAAATAGTAACTTTATGTCAAGAATGAGACTAAATGGGATCAAATGAGATCACTTTCTCATTTTTTTCAAGTCATGGTTTCATTTTAAGATCTGATATATAGTCACTTTACCTGTTTTTTTAATAGCCAGTCCCAGCGGATTCATGCCAAGAAATGTATAGGACCAGATCAAATGAAATTCAATGTGAAATTCATGGTCCCAGCGGCCAGTCTACTCTTCAGACTCTGTGATTCAACAGTTATTGACATGTAGTATCAAGAATAACTTACAAATTAAATGATAAAGAAATTCACTGTTATAAAATGAGATCTTGAATTCTAGATTCATCAAGTGTTCTGTTACAAGAAAATATCATGTTCTTACTGCCTGTTTCATCTTATATAAGCTCTGATGTACAAGCTCTACTAATTCATCACAACTGTGCTTAATCTCTGTGAATAGTGTATAAATATCATCTCATTCTGAGGCAATATCTTATTTAAAAACACAGATACATAGTCAATCAATCTGACTTTTCAATCCGTTGCTGTTAATATAGTGAATATACTTTGTAATATAGGTCTAGACATCACTGCTACATATAACTTATTATAATGAATATCTTATTATTATAGAAATTCTCTAATCACTCAATAAGCTCTAAAGCAGATGATTTTATCCTTGTTATTCAACTTTCAATTATACACTTATTTATCTGTAAGAATGTTTATTTCTGAGATCTTTTCAATGATAATATATGTCTTCTTCTGTTCAAAAGTTTTCACTTTCTTTCTCATTGTCTGATGTCAATGTTTCTAGTTATAGCTTCTTTTGACCTCTGTTAGTGTAATCAGACAGTCATTAAGAACACTGAGTATAGAATCTTTGTCATTCACAGAGTTATTCATATTATTATCAACAAGTTCTGTTTCATCATCTAGTAAATATATCAGTTTCAGTGTATCATTTATATCATTATCAGTAAGCATCTTTAAAACATCAGATTTATTCTTTGCAAGTCTTCTTAGAAGACAGTACTGTCATTTCTTCATGATGTTAAGAATATTCAATTTCTCTGACAGTTTGACTGCTTCTCTAATAATATTCACTGATGCTTCTTCTGTTATCAATTCTTCATCAAAAACAATATTTCTTACAATCTCAAGCTTTCAGATTGCAGAGTCTCAGATACAATATTAGTGCAGTTCTTAATATTCAATTAATTATTATTACTTATCATCAGTTCTATTCATGAGCTTATTGATAATCTTCAGATTCTTCTTATACATCTTACATTCTCATCTGTGTATTCAATAAGCAGAAGGTTGAACACCTGTTCAAGTTTTAAAAGAGAATAATAAGATTCTTCTCTGACATCTGTAAATCTTTGTTGATATTGAGAATGTGTTGATTATTATAATCATGATTTGAATAGCTTCATCTCAAAGTTCTCTTGCAAGTCTGCTGTTAAATAGTAAGCTTCTTATCTTTTTATCTACAATATAATTGACATGTTCTGCAGGGTCATTGAACTGTGATGTATCAGATATAGTGATCTTATATGTAATCTCTTTTCACTGACAGTAGGTCTTTAATTCATCACTTTTAAATTCATCTCTGTCATTTCAGTGTAAAGTCTCAATTCAATATTGAGTAGTGGCCTCAATTCTGTTAATAAAGATTATCAAACACATAGTGATCTCACTCTTTGATATTATAAGAATAATTCATCTGTAGTATGTGACATTATCTGTAATACTCATTCAATAATTAGCTCTCTCATGAGTAGAGAGATTGATTTTATTATATAGTGTATAGTCATCATCTGCAAGGTTCATAAAGAATCTCATCACAGATTTAACAGTTCTTGTCATTAATATAAATATTGAATGTGTCATTTTTATCTGTACACAGATCTTGCAGAATGACAAAGCTCTGTCACTCTTAATTCTCATTCTCAGTTATAAATCTGCTGCTAATTTAGTAATATTCACAGAATTGAGATGATCAAGCTTTTGATGTTATTGTAACATTATGTGTTCAACAATCTTGATATTCTTATTAAGCAATACTAGCAGGGGATCTTTTTTCTCTGCAGACTGTAGAATTTTTACAGATTTAAATTCATCATTTAATATTACAAATTGAATTAAGTCTCTAGTTATTAATTGTTTTTTCAGAATGTAGATGTTCTTATCACTCAATTTAGCAGTAAAACTCAACATCTTGTCAGAAGAGATTAGCAAGATTAAATAAGTGTTTTCATAGATCAGTTACTTATATGTATAGCTCTGATGTACAAGCTTCTCAAAACTCATAAGATTTATTTTCAGCTTGAGAATATAGCAGACATTCTACAGCAGCAGATTCACTTCCTTAACTGATATATTCACCTTCTCTATAGCTGTTACAGAAGCTGTCAATTCATCAGTTATCTTCAATATAATATTAATCTTCTGCAGCACTATTGATATGAGATTCTTGCAAGATATAGTATAAGCATCAGATTCAGAGTTCAGAACTCAGATATCTTTACCAGTTTGATCAGTAGAATAGACTGTTTCTATTGTATGAAATACTTGCTTAATAATATTATGAACTGACACTGAGCCTGTTTCATTCTTATTCTTATTCTTATCACAGCTAGTAGAGCATTTTTCAGGAAATTTCAATCAGCAATCTGTTTAAATGTGATCAATCTTCTGACAATGATAATATGTTTTGATAGCATTATTACTCTTTCTCTTTAGCTTGATGAAATCTTTGTTCTTGTTCTCAGAGATCTTCTTCTTCTTCTTCTTCTTTTTATTCTTTCTGTTGAAATCTTGAGCATTATTTACAGAGATCTTTTCATCAGAGATGAGAGATTCATCAGTAGCTGACAATTGTAGAAGAATATTTCAACACAATTTTATGAAATCATCTTCAAGTGTTCTAGTGTTCTCATTCTTCTCTATTATATTCATTCAATTCTTTATAAAAGACAATCAATCTTTACTAATCTCTATAAGAAGTCAGTCAAAAAACATGAAATCTTTAACATTATATTTCAATCAGATATAATCAGTTCTGATTGCAATTAAATATTCAATAAATGCATGATCAGAACTCTTTGATTTTAATATTATCTTAATTAATTCTTGAAACAGACAAGTTCTGTGAACAGCAGATCTCTCAGTGAAATTATTCTCTATAACAGATTATAAAGAATAAGCAGATAGTTGAGACTTCTTAAGTATAATAAAGTGAGATTTAGTCTGCAGAGTGATCACAGATTATATATAATTATATAGTCAGATATTCTATTCTGATCAAAAATATTGCATATTCATACTGATATTCTCATCAGAATTAACCTGTTTATTATTAAGAATATCATTCATTTCAGATTGTCTTACTATAAGCAGAATCTCTTTCTTTCACATAGAATAATTTACAGAGTCAGTGAGTATAATAGGCTTTTTTATAGATCTTACTTAATCTCTGAATTCATTAAGAATCTTTATCAATACAGATATTCTACTCTTTCATTAAAGATAGTTTATTAAATCTGTATTAAGCTCTTCATTTTCACTTCTATCTGTCTTTATTCACTTGACTTCATACTGAAGTCTTGCAATTTCTAGTCTCATACAAGTCTTCTCACTTACAGAGTCATTGTCATTCTGATTACTTGAGTCTCTTATATTATCTGACATCTCACTGATGATGTCTTCAATCAGGTCTTTATATATATTGAACTTATCAGACTGTTCTTTCATGATTGTGTCATTCAGCTCAAACATTTCAGAGGCAGTCACTTTTCAGTTCATTATTAATATTAATAATGATCTGTGATCTTACATCTGCTGTTCTGATATCTTCTCATTTTTCTGTCTTGAAGACATATATTCTTTTATTAAGTCAGATGTTCTCTCAGATCTTAGATTAATCATGAGTTCAATCACTTAATAAATCATCTAGACACACTTATAACAATGCATGAAGATGTCAATTGCACATTATTTTACAGCTTTTCATTGTGTAGAGAGCTTCATAACCTCTTGAAGAATAATATTGTTATATTGTATTGTAATCTAACTACATGAGTTACACTAAATGAATAGATTGAAGTGACACATGACTAGAGTAGATATAGTAATTATCAACACTGTTAAATACTCTGTAATAAAATCTCATGTGATGTTATATACATCTCTTTGAATTCATGAATGAGATTGAATAGCTGACTGTGCAGTCTGTACAGCTCTGATTAATCTGATAATAATAATAGAGATGATACAGAGTGAAAGAGAGTAGTAGAAGAAGTAGAGATGATAATGATGATGATGATGAGAGAGTAAAGAGTGAAAGAGATAAAAAGAGTGATAACAGTGAATAGAGATAGAGAATGAAAGTGATAAAGAAGGTTGTGAGATGATAGAGATGATAGTAGTGATAGAGAGAGTAGAGATGATAAGAGAGAAGTAGAGATAGAGAGGTGAAAGTGATAGAGAAAGCTGCGGAGCGGTAGAGATGATGATGATGATAGAGAGAGTAGAGGTGAAAGAGATGATAAGAGAGTAGAGATAGAGAGTGAAAGTGATAGAGAAAGCTATGAGGCGGTAGACGCGGTGATGATGGTAGAGAGGGTAGAGAGTGAAAGAAGTGAAAGAAGTGATAAGAGAAAGGTAGAGAGTGGTCCGGAGGAAGAGTGAAAGTGATAGAGTAGAGGGGCTGCGGGGCAGTAGAGGCGGTGATGGTGATAGAGAGAGTGGAGAGTAAGGGGTGAAAGAAGTAGAAGAGATGATAGGGGTGATACGGGGTGATACAGAGTGAAAGAGAGTGGTAGAGAGAGAGGGTGATAGAAGCGGTAGAGGTGGTGATGGTGGTAGAGGGAGTAGAGGGTAAGGAATGGAAGGGGTGGTAAAGAGAGGGTAGGAAGTGATCGAGAGGAAGGGTGGAAGTGGTAGAGGGGGCTGCGCAAGCAGAAAAGCGAGCGTAAGCAAGCATTTGATGCTTGTCTCTCTATATATTAAAGAAAAACCAACTTTTCCATGCAAAAAATGCTGTAATGTGATCTCATGTGATATCATATGCACCTCATTAAATTTATGATTGAGATTAACAGCTGGCTCTGCAGCCTGTACAACTCTGATAGTTAATCTTCATTCTTTTCTTTACAGGTGTTCTCTACTGTATTTACATTCTTTATACTCTTATCTACATTCATTACAACCTGTGTACTACATTCATTATCATTAATATACTCTTTCATGCGCTGCTGCTTGATATATGAGGATTCTCATTCTCTCAGCATGTTTGAACATTCTCAATTCAATGCATTATTCTGTACATGCTCTACATACTGTCAAGCTCAGTGTCATGCATGTCAGACACATTTAGTTCAAACCTCTTATCTGTCATTGAGAGATGTAGCTGCTTCTGTGCTTAACTCACAGTGAGTTGAGCTGTCACACTGTGATATGTGCTGTGAAGACTGTTCATCTCATCTGTTTCATACTGTCAATCACATGTTCAAGAACTGCAATAACTGCTGAACTCTCAATCATGAATATGTCTGTGATGTTAAATGCTGTTATCTGACAGCTGCTGCAGCAGTTCATGCAGACTATATATATATGAATTCATCAGAGCAGCTGTTCCTTGATATTCTCAATAATTGAATCAGCTCAACTATCTCTGAATCAGCTGTTAATTCTTCAATCACTTGTAGCTGTCAGTCTGTTCTCTGCAGCTTTCAGTTCTACACTCATTATCATCAATCACTTGATTTTAACTGAATGAATGTCTGCTGCTCTATCTGCAGAGCTAAGTATTGAATTGATGAATGTGTACACAGATTATCAAAGACTCTATCAGTGTTTTTCACATGCTGTGTAAGAGATGCTGTAAGACTGCTATCTGTCAAAGAACTCTCACAAGAGCTACATGAGCTGTTTAATAATAATACAGCTGATGTGAAGTATTTCTGCAAGCATATTCAGAACTACAACTCTGCCCTGGTATTTACATCTATTAAGTGCAAGCAGAATCCACACCTGGGTCATCTGGCTACTAGTGACTCAGTGCTATTTCAAATACAGAGAGAACTCTATCACCTGCAAGAGTTATTAGAGTCTGAGTCAGATGAGAATATCTGTTTTATACAAATATGAATTCACAACTCACAGTTTAATACAGGTATTTTAAACAGTGCAGACTCTGTCATACATTCTAGCATATTTAATTGTATCTGTATTGCATTGCTTACTGTTCATTTATTTACTTTTTCACATTCTTCTATTATGTTGTTATAACTGCTATCTCTCTATATATTAAAGAAAAACCAACTTTTCCATGTAAAAAACACTGTAATATGATCTCACATGATATCATGTGCACCTTATTAAATTTATGATTGAGATTAACAGCTGGCTCTGTGACCTGTACAACTCTGATAGATAATCTTCATTCTTTTCTTTACAGATGTTCTCTACTATATTTACATTCTTTATACTCTTATCTACATTCATTACAATCTATGTACTACATTCATTATTATTAATATACTCTTTCATGCACTGCTGCTCAACATGTGAAGATTCTCATTCTCTCAGCATGTTTAAACATTCTCAATTCAATGCATTATTTTGTACATGCTCTATGTGCTGTCAAGCTCAGTGTCATGCATATCAGACACATTCAGTTCAAATCTTCTGTCTGTTATTGAGAAATATAGCTGTTTCTGTGCTCAACTCACAGTGAGTTGAGCTGTCACACTGTGATATATACTGTGAAGACTGTTCATCTCATCTATTCTGCACTGTCAATTGTGTGTTCAAGAACTACAATAACTGCCAGACTCTCAATTGTGAATATGCTCATGATATTAAACACTGTTATCTGACAGCTGCTGCAGCAGTTTATGCAGATTATATATATATGAATTCATCAGAGCAGCTGTTTCTTGATATTCTCAATAATTAAATCAGCTCAACTATTTCTGAATCAGCTGTTAATTCTTCAATCACTCACAGCTGCTGATCTGTTCTCTGCAGCTTCTGATTCTACATCTGTTACTATCAATCACTTGATTTTAACTGAATGAATGTCTGCTGCTCTGCCTGCAGAGCTAAGCATTGAATTGATAAATGTGTACATAAGTCATCAAAGACTCTATCAGTGTTTTTCACATGCTGTGCAAGAGATGCTGTAAGACTGCCATCTGTCAAAGAACTCTCACAAGAGCTATGTGAGCTGTTTAATGATAATACAGCTGACATGAAGCATTTTCACAAGCATATTCAGAACTACAACTCTGTCCTGACATTTATATCTATTAAGTGCAAGCAGGATTCACACCTGGGTTGCCTGGCTACTAGCAGCTCAGTGTTATTTCAAATACAGAGAGAACTCTATCACCTGCAAGAGCTGTTAGAGCCTGAGTCAGATAAGAATGTCTGTTTTACACAAATGTGAATTCATAACTCACAGTTTGATGCAGATATTTTAAACAGTGCAGACTCTGTTATATATTCTAGTATATTTAATCATATCTGTATTGCATTGCTTGCTGTTCATTCATTTACTTTTTCACATTCTTCTATTATATTGTTATAACTGCTAATGTTCTCAAGATTAATTCTTTTATTCAGCTTTACCAGTCTGCATGAGAGATACTACAGAACAGCTCTGCTGTGTGTGTCAGTTTGAACCCTGTTCTACAGCTGAAGACAGGCAATGACTACTGCTATGAGAATCTGCCTACTGTCTCTGAGATTGCAGTTGTTATACAGAACACTTCTGACAGCACTCATCACTCTCATGCCATTCTTCTGACACTATGACAGCCCGGTGCTGACTTGAGTCTCACATGTATTGATTCTCACAGTTCATTATATCTTTCACTGCATTATATTCTACTTTTTCCTTTCAGAGATCACAGCTGATATATTGATATAAATGTGCTTACAGACCTCTCACCCGCTCACAATGACTCTGATAATGATGTTGATGATGCTGTTGAGAATGAAGATGAGTGTGATGACTGTAGCCTGACTCTGTATATATGACATGCATATAATCTTTTTCAATGAGATGATGTTGATGCTTCTCTTTTTCAGATTAGATATCTATTTCAACAATATTTAGTTAATATCTATACAAATGTTAATGAATAGCAGCTGAACTGAGTTCATGCTCACTAACTGAAAATCTGTGCAGATCAATATAGTGATTTACATGATGCTATACAGGCAGATGATACAGATCATGAGCAGCTTGATTATTATGTGATATTACCTGCTTCTTATATAGACAGTGAACATTTTATGTATAAACTGTTTCAGAATTCTATGATAATTGTCTTCAACTACAGATGTTCAATTCTTTTCATTATATTCACAGTCAACTCTGAGTGAGAGAAGATTATCTGTGAGTTGCTTTCTAATCAGACTGCAGCAGATCACTCAGATTTAATTGTATATGTTTTTACAATGAAGATTTTTCATTTTCTTAACATTCTCAAATTCAGACAGCTGTTCAGGTCAATGTTGACTAGAGTATGAATAATTGAATATTAAAAATATGAACTGCCTCATATGCATCTATTAATCTGACTAGAGAACTCTGAGTGATTTTTGCAGTCTGATACAATTGATGATATTATATCTACAGAGCTGTCAAGCTCTGCTGAGAATATAGATGGGTTGAGTGAATTGATCTGTAAATTCATAATTCATGATTCATATAATACTGGTGAGACAAGCCTCTGCCATGAGAATAACAGATGTATAAAATGTTT